CCCAAAGCAAAAGCAAGGGGGCGGCGAGGGGTGGGGACGGGCTGTGCAAGAGGGCGGCTCCGAAGAGGATGCCCTTGCCGGCATCGGGTGCCCCTTGACTTCACTGGGACTTACTCTTGTGTAGAGATGCCGGGGCAACACCTCTGGTGCGGACTATTGGAACTGGGGAAGCATCGCCAAGGGAGACTGAGTTGCCGGGTCGCGCGGCGCCTGTTTTAATAATATCTATTGAACGTTTTCCACATTTAGGGCCAGCGTTAAGAAACTCCTTTTCCCGCTGAGTTGCTCTGTTTAATTTTCAACAGAAGATTAAAGATGATCAGCATAAGTGCATTTTATTCCTCCGGACAGGAAGATCTCACCTGGCTGATCGATTTCCTGAAGACATGGATGTATTCAGACAATTACCTGGGCAATTTTCCTGCCTATCCAGTATGCCTTCTGTGGGTGCTGGCATCACTGGTACTCCTGTTTTCACCTGTTCTAGTCATTATCGGCTGCATTTACCTTTCTAATCTTCTCCTGCATATTTACAAGAGACAATTCCATTTAAACGAAAATTATCTCAGCAAATCTTGGGACAATGGAAGAAGGACAGTGTCTTACCTTTGGGATATATATGGCAAGCTGTGTCATGGTAAGCACAGTTATCTTCCTCTTTAAACTTGCATGTTGTGTTCATCTAATATTTTTGTTTAAAGTAGTGCAGAAATAAATTTTAGGCATAATACTTGGCATTTGCATTGCACATGCAATTGTTCATAGCACTTTAAAAACATTCATTTAGCAATCCTGACAACAGTACTGTAAAGCAGATTGTGGTTATTCCCTGTTGCATGGGAGACACTGAAAAGGTACTGATTTCCTTAGGCTACTTGAATTGTAATTGCAAATGTACTTGCCTGAAATATGCCACATTGAAGTCAATTAGGTGGGCCTCTGAGTGGATACATATAGGATTCTGTACTTAAGTTGCAATTATGTGCCCACTTACTTGAGAATAAACTGCATTCCATTGAATGCAGTGAGACTTACTTCTGAAGAAGCATATGCAGAATCTTGTCACATGTAGCTTTGGGGAAGTTGAGATCTGAACCAGGAGGACAGTTCCTGTTTTGTTGGCCATCCTTTTTTAGTCAGCACAGAATACTGGCTTATCATTTCATGGTCTGTCTAATGGAACAGAGATGCTAAGCTGTTGTATGTTTTTTGGGCCGTTTGGCCATGTTTTGGAGGCTTCTCTGTCAGAGTTCTAACTTCTGTCCTCTGAAGATGCCAGCCACAGAGACTGGCGAAACGTAAGGAAAAAAAAAAACCCAGAACATGGCCAAACAGCTCAAAAAACCTACAACAACCATCAGATCCCCGCCATGAAAACCTTCGAGAATACAGAGATACTATGTGATGAGTATATATTTATGAACTACTTGCTTAATCATATAACTGCACAAAATCACTTCCAAAGAGGAAAAAAGTTTGGTTTTAAGCAAAAATGGACTGTTCAACTTATACCCTCAAATGTAAAGGAATTCAAATGATTGATCAGTCCACCCAACCTCCCATAGCTGGGCTGTATCATTACACTCTTCTGCTTTACATAAATGAATACGAGAATTGAACTACATTCAATATGCCAGCAAGTTTGGAAAACTCAACAGCCAGAAAGTTCAAGAAAAACATCTACTTCTGCTTCATTGCCTACGCAAAAGCCTTTGACTGTGTGGACCACAGCAAACTATGGCAAGTCCTTATGTATGTATGTCCTGAGAAACCTATACATGGGACAGGAAGCAAGAGTTAGAACTGGATATGGAACAACTGATGGTTTCAAAACTGGGAAAGGAGTACAACAAGGCTGTATATTTTCCCCTTCTTATTTAACATATGCAGAATACATCGTGTGAAAGGCCGGACTGAAAGAATCCCAAGCCAGAATTAAGATTGCCGGAAAAAATATAAACAACCTCTGATATGCAGATGATACCACTATGATGGCAGAAAGTGAGGAGGAATTAAAGAACCTCTTAATGAGAGTGAAAGAGGAGCATGCAAAAAATGGTCTGAAGCTCAACATCAAAAAAACTAAGCTCATGGCCACTGGTCCCATCACCTCCTAGCAAATAGAAGGGGAAGATATGGAGGCAGTGACAGATTTTACCTTCTTGGGCTCCATGATCACTACAGATGGTGACAGCAGCCATGAAATTAAAAGATGTCTGCTTCTTGGGAGGGAAGTGGTGACAAACCTAGACAGCATCTTAAAAACCAGAGACATCACCTTGCCAACAAAAGTCCGAATAGTCAAAGCTATGGTTTTTCCAGTAGCGATGAATGGAAGTGAGAGCTGGACCATAAAGAAGGATGACCGGCGAATAATTGATGCTTTTGAACTGTGGTGCTGGAGAAGACTCTTGAAAGTCCCCTGGACTGCAAAGAGAACAAACCTTTCCATTCTGAAGGAAATCAACCCTGAGTGCTCACTGGAAGGATAGATCCTGAAGCTGAGGCTCCAATACTTTGGCCATCTCATGAGAAGAGAAGACTCCCTGGAAAAGACCCTGATGTTGGGAAAGTGTGAAGGCAAGAGGAGAAGGGAATGACAGAGGACGAGATGGTTGGACAGTGTCATCGAACCGACCAACATGAATTTTACCAAACTCTGGGAGGCAGTGGAAGACAGGAGGACCTGGTGTGCTCTGGTCCATGGGGTCACAAAGAGTTGGACAAGACTAAACAACAACTACTGATTCTCAAAAGAGAAACAGCTTCTCTTTACCTTCACCTAACCCAATTGAAAACATCTATTTATTTATTTGTTTTCTAAACTGCCCATCTGAGCAATGGTCACTCTGGGTGGTGTACAACAGTAAACACTATGCATGTATAATCTAATCAAACACCAGTTGAAATTAATTTAAAATCAGGCGGTGCCCTGTAGACATTAAACATTAAGACTTCCCTGATAGATTAGTGGGGCATGACTAATAAGTAGTTAATGACAGGGTGAAATGGCAGGCCCGTGTTTGTAGATGTTGACACTATTAAAGCCTATATTTCATTTGAGCTCTTTTACATAACTAATTATGTGCTATGTAGGCAATACAGTAGCTAATGGGATTATATCATAGTTCTTATTTGGTGTAGAGAGTAAGGTAAAAGAAGAGTCCACCAATGTGCCCATGTTTTTAGTAGTTTTTCATTTGTATTTCTTTAGTTTTGGAGGTACAGTACAGCTTCCACATCAAATTTTTAAGCTTGTGTATATATAAAGTGAGCAATCAATATCTTGAAGGCATCACAAGCCAACTATTGTTGCCCAGACAGGGTGGTATCCGGAAAAAAATCACAGCCACTTGCAAGAGAGAGACAGCTGTGATGTAAGCATCTCTTTAAGAAACACATCCGTTCTGCCATAAGATGTTGTGCTGCTCAAAGTTTTACCCTCAGGAATGCATTCAGACATGTTCCACCAAAAGCTGATCCTACCTAAAAGGGAAGAGGGTTAGAAGATCACAATTTTCTTTCTTCCCAAAATTGCCTCTGTAAATTTTATTTTGGATAAAAGGCACAAGGCGAGACTTAAAGATTTAAGAAGGAGGCAGGACTGAGAGGTACAACAGTAGCCTTAATGAAGAACAACTGTAATAAAAAGATTGTAAAACACGCAAATCAACAAACAAAAAACCAGAACAAGAAAGAGAGAGAGAGAGTACTACCATAGCATGCAAGGTTTTTTTTAGCTAACATGAATTTGAATTTGTCCTGGTTGTGTAGAGTTGTGCAAGTATACATTGCACTGCAGAATGTTTTATGAGGCCTCTCCTAAGATACTACTTTAATTTGGGGGATACAGTTTCAACAATAATTTTGTTGTTTAAGCAGAAACTTTCTTTTTGTGGAGTTCTCTTGCCAGCAGGTCTAGTAGTACCTTTATGGTGTTTTGCCATTCAAATAGGCAATCTGGAGTTCTTTCTGATGCGGCAGCATGACAATTGTATGATAATGTCATATTTCTCCGCAACAGTTTTGGTGATAATTTTGTAAGTATTTAGGTGTTCATTGCAATGGAAGTGAAGAAGGAATTTCAGAAGATGTATGGCCCATGATGATCTATGCCTGCTGAAATTTCCTCTTTGCATACAACTAATAAAGGGACAGAGTCCTGTCTCATTTTTCATATGGCCACCCTGAAAGTTAGGTGGCAGACTCTAGCTCTGTTCAATTGTTGGCTTATCTTGCACTGACATCATGTTAGGCTTATCTTGCACTGACAGCATTTTCTCCATATGAGCAGGGATGAGCCTGCAGAGGAAAGTTTCTGCTCAAATGTAGGCTCTGTGCACAAGAATTCAGATTTATTTAGTTAGTGGAGTTACATACTGCCCCATTAGTACTGGGCACTATTCTGGGTGGTTAACAAATAATGCAATGAAAGAAACAACCAAGACACCGAATTTTGCAGGATCCTTGCTCACAAATACAGCCTACATGCAAGAAGAAATCTCTCCTCTTCAATCTTTTCTCTGCTTGCATGGAGAAAATGATGGGGGAGGAGGATGGAGGCTTTCTGTCTCCATTCTGTGTGTGGATGACTTTAGGTGAGATAAAAACTGAGCAGGGCTATAGGGAAGTTCAAATTCACGCAGGATACAACACTAGCTACTCCTTCCGATTCCTCTGATGGGCAGTCAGTATCAGACTTTTGGATTCACACTCTTGAAGAACAAAAGTCCACCTTGATGTGTTTCTGAGTCCGTATAGGCTGCATGTGGATAATGGGCCCCAATCTGCTAATGACAATGTTAGGAGAAATGTAGGAGACCAAAGTCTTGGAGAAAAAACCCTGAGCGCTGAGTATTTAGACAGTGTTTTAAACATAGTAATTGTACGTACATTTAAAGTGAAAGGCACTTTTCATCTTTTGCTTCCTGCTAATAACAGAGGCCTGTTGTATTAAAGGATAGCTAAAGCTCTTGTATTCTGTGTTTTGAACAGGTTATGAAGTACATGGGATGGACAAACTACCACAAGGACCAGGGCTTCTTGTATTTTACCATGGCGCTTTTCCTTTAGATTATCAGTACTTTGTGTCTAGACTCTATTTGCAGACAGGCAGATTCTGCCGCACAGTGGTTGACTACCATTTTTCCAAAATACCAGGTAAAATGTAGTGAGTTCATTAGCATTGTTTGTTTGCTTCTTTATTGTCATTTATATTTCACCATTCCTCTCATAAGAATATACTGCTCTCCTTTCCACATGCTTTGTTCCCGCAGTAATTCAGTAAAAGTGTGACTGGCTCAAGGTCACTTAGTGAGTTTTGCAGGTGAGAGAGAATTTGAACTCAGGTTCCCGGAAGCATAATCTAAAACTCTCATCTACCACATAACACTGCAAGACTTCCCCCATTCTTTCTTTTTCAGCGTGAATAGTAGTTAAAATATCACATTGTTTAACTTTATGACGATGTGATGACACTTTGATTAGAAAGAGTGTGTGCCCCCCTCTCAAACCACCTATCTTCTCAGTCCCAATGACCAAGATGTAATTGGGGTTGAGATTATCTTCTTGGTCTTGATGACCAAGATGTACTCATTTTGGACTGAGAAGATAGGCGGTTTGAGAGAGGGGTCAGGGAGGCCATACATGTGCATATAGAAAAGCTCTCACTCAACAGGGGTGGAGGCCTTAGAGACAATCTGTCTCCTATTGATCATGCTGTCCTTTCATCCGTCCCCAGAAAGATCAGGATCACAAACACCAGAAAGGGTGGAGAAGGACTGCAGAAGTGGGATTATCCCTCATCCCCGGTCCTTTGTCCTTCTGAGCCTATTCAGACCTGGGAAAACGAAACCAACGTGGAGGATAAACTAGGGATTTCCTACCAGCTCTCCTCAGATTGAAGAAGCTACTTGGATGAGTAGCAAAACATTTCAACCTAACAGGAAAAAAGCCCAGTTGCCATGACTCAACTTCCAGATAACCACACCTAGATGACTGAAAATCTTCACAGATACACCTGCCATGATTTTTGCTGCTTCTAATTAAGTTTTAGGACCAGGATTTATCAGACCTACTGAGTTCCCATAGCTTGAGTGGTTTTATTCCAGCTGTGAATTACAACCCAATTTGTTGTTGTTTAGTCATTAAGTCGTGTCTGACTCTTCGTGACCCCATGGACCAGAGCACGCCAGGCCCTCCTGTCTTCCACTGCCTGCCAGAGTTTGGGCAAATACAACCCAATTTTTATTTTAAAGTCAGGACAAGGTCAGAATAACCCTAAATTCCCAGTATCACAGGGCTCTGAGTAGTTTGCATTCAGCACAGTCTCAGCCAGGTCTTGGCCATCTTGGCAAGTTAATGCTCTGTCCTAAATTGGGTTGTATTTGTCACTTTATGTCAGCTTTATGTAATTTGTAACTTTAAAGCCTAATGGCTGTGAATCTGGGCTGAAAAAGGATTGGATCTGGCATAATGCAGCTGCCCCCTCACTTTTTTGGGGGGGAGAGGTTCTTCTGTGTTTCCCTGTATGAGCCTTCTCAGCACTTAAGATCTTCAGGAGAGGCCCTTAGACCTACTGCCTTTTCAGGCACATTTCGTGAGGACAGGAGACATGATCCTCTCTGTGGCTGTTCCGAGATTGTGGAATGCCATTCCTTAGAATGCTAGGTCGGCCCCCTGCCTCTTGACCATCTGGTGAGAGTCTTTTTAAGATAGGCTCATAACAACTAATTGAGCAATTTTTGATTCTTGTCTTCTGGATGCTATTATTTTTAGGTGTATTTTAAATGTGTTTTTAAGGGGCTTTAAACAGTTTTAACTAAGTGTTTTAGTGTTATAGTTTGTGTCTTTAAGTTGGTTTGTTTATTAATAACTTTTGAGCTGCCTTAGGCTCTCTTTAATTGGGGGAAATGAGGCATACATGTGAAAATAAATTTAAAAAAACCCTGCAATCCTACATCCATTTACCTGGGAGTAAGTTCTGCTGAATTGAGTGGGACTGGCCTCTGAATAGACATGCATAGGATTGCACTGTAAATGCATGAAGTTTGCCAGCTCATCTCACCAAGGAGAGCAGTTGTGCTGACAGATCAGAGATCAACTATCACAAAAGTAGTTGTGCTCACCCAAGAACTTCTGCTCACTTCAAACCCACTATAGTTGGTATATCTTTTAAGTTTCAGTTGTGTTGTTGGATCATAATTGTTTGAACCACAGGTGAAGGCTTTCTCTTCTTTAATGTTTAGCCATTATTATACATCTAGATATGTGCTTACTGAGTTTGTTCTGCTCTGATACATAAGTGTTGGCCCTATGGTCTCCTTCCTTTCCACTTTCAGCTTGTTCACATGATTTGTTCTTGTTTGATATCAAAGATGTATAAGTGCTTTCTTTGTAGCTGAGGCTTTCTGTGCATAATTAAGCATAAGAGAAGGGGATTATTTTATTATGATTAAATGTGCAGAACACAAAACATCTCTTACATAGACTGTTTCAGTATGACAGTGTGTATTGCTGTCTGTCTTACAGGCATAAAGCTGTTTTATAACGTGCAAGGTCTTACACATGACGGAAGACTGGAATGTGTTGAAATTCTGAAAAAGGGTTACTTATTGGGCGTTTTGCCAGGTGGAGCCAGAGAAGCACTCTTCAGTGACCAGAGCTATGGTCTCTTATGGGGTAGACGCACAGGTTTTGCTCATGTGGCCAAAGATGCTAAAGTGGTAAGTGGTTATGCATTGTGTGCTTAAGAGATTCTCCAGAATAACTCAATGGAAATGTGTTTGCAAAAGATAAAAAAAATGAAAACTAAACATTAAAGCAGTGGTTCCCAGCCTTGGGTCCTTAGACATTTTTGGACTTCAGCTTCCAGAAGCTCTTGCCAACACAGTTAATGGTGAAGTCTTCTGGGAGTTGTATTCACCAACCACTGGCCATATTTTGCTTTGGATTTATGGAAGTTTTATTGCAAAACATCTAGAGCAGGGGTCTGATATGCTTTTACCAGGTATAGGATTTTCACTTTGGAAACATCATGTTTATACCAGAGCAACTGAGGGATGCAGAAGCCAAAACATTTTACAGACACCCAGAGACTAGACACATGCACACACATAAAATTCCCCAAACACTCCCCACCCACTAAAACATAAATATTTATGTTTGTTAGTCACTGTTGTAAGTATGTGGGTAGAAAAGTGGAGGTGATTAATATTAATCCTTTGAAAGTTAACACTTGCCATTTTCTGTTGTGTGCACATATTCTTCTGACCTTTATTAACTTGTTGGACAGGAGATAAAGATAAACAATATTCTCTTGTTTATTCTGCATTTTGAATTTCTCTCTCTCTCACACACACATTGATGCTGCATTAGTATGGCTATTAGCTATTAGTTTCATGCTGCGTTGCGTTTTGTTGTTTTATTGTGATTTTGCTAAAACAGTATTTTATTTCATTAAAATTTAAGTGCCATCAAATTGATCCCAGTGTGTGGGCTGAAGTCTTGTTACTTACCATTGGAAGTTGCAACCAGAGTAGGCCCACCAGATCAGAGATTTGGTGAGTCAACTCCTTTGTAAGTTCTAGTGAATCGCTGGGCCTACTCTAGTTGTAACTTAATAAGCTAAGCAATAGCATTTCAGCAATGGTGATCCTTCCCAGGGTTCCCAGTAAAGTAATCAGGAGTGGATACATGTCCTTCCTTCTGATGGTGCTGTGGAACCATGCAAGTTGCCCAAGGCTATACGATGGCTGTTCTCTTGAGATTCTCGGCGGGAAACTGAAATTCTGACCTTTGTGGATAGATGCTGGAACTGATTGAGCCAGATTTTTTTTCTTATTTTAAAAAGAACTGTAATGTCTAAGGAAAATTATTTTATGAAAAGCATAACAAATATAATAAATAATGGAATAATATAGTATGTGGTTCAATTTTTACCACGGAAAATCACTGAGGCATACAAATTATTATCCTGATATAGACTCATGTTCCATAATACATAAAGGATTATTTTAAAGCTTTACGACATACTGACATGGAATGGAATGTCTTCATCTATTTCAAGTTTGCAAATAGGTTTATGAAGTTTCTTATTCATTATTCATGTTTTTGAGAGTATGGGTTGAGTTTTATTGCTGTATAGAACTCTGACAGCAGGTTATTACTGATCCAATGTGTAAAGTGTTATGACTTTTATTAGCGACAGTTCATTTCAGTTTCTTGACAAGATGATGGCTGTGTTTTGATGTGAATGTTGTTGATGTTATTCATCTGATTAAATCAACGAGCAGCAGATTTTTATCTGTTCCCCACCCTTCTCTTCCACTGATATGATGAATTCTAATAACCTTATCTTGGCTATGTCAGAGAGAAGGAGAGGGGATTGAGGGTTGCAGGAGGCTGAATCTTATTCACAGAATGAAAAAAAACCACACATTTCATTTTTATGCAAGGAAATCTGATAATAAATTATTTGTATTCCAAAAGTGCTTTTAACAGTGAAGTTTTTAGCATGAAGATAAAACATCCTCTTGTACCTGGATATACAATCCATGATATAACAGCTTTTTAAAGTTTACTGTATTGATGCAGGGTCTTTAAATAATGGAGACTGAAATACAGCCCTAATTGTGGCTACTTTTCTCCCACCTTTCTCAGCCTGTCATCCCTATATTTACAAAAAATCTACGAGAAGGATACAGAACACTTGGAAAAATATGTAAGATGGATTCCACTTGCATCTTCCCATATGCTTATGCCTTTGTGCTAAACACAGTACACAGAAGCAAAACCTACATACTTCACTTAGACTTCTGTTTATTTGTGTTTAGAATTTTGGCCCTGGAATATCTGTGTTGCTGTCTCTCTGCTTTCATGTATTCTTCCTCCTATTCCTCTGCCTGTCTTTCTGCCTTGGGCTCCTACCACACTGTCTTAGCCCAGTTTCCTTTTCTCTGCCTTTGCTCTTCTGTCTTCCTGGGTGACAATATCCCTGCATTTCTTTAAGTGTCCAGTGGCCCTTGGTGCTTACCCAATTGCCACAAATTTCGCTGAGCTGCAAGTTTAGCACACATTTATGTACATATTATCCCATTGAAACCCATGAGGCATAGATATGTATAATTAGGCATTGAATTGGAACTTTCATATTTATTATGCATGACAACTTAGCCATACATTTTTGCACAGTTATGTGTTAAGTGCATGGCCTTTGTTTATTTAACAGCTGGGTTACTTCCTAAGCCTACACTAAATTGCTATTTATCCGAAGATGAGCATGCTTTTATATTGCTGTATACAGGGCCCTTGAAGTGGCTATATGAAAGTACCCGGTGGCCAATTGTTCCAGTATATGGAGGGTTTCCAGTCAAATTCTGCACCTATGTAGGAGATCCTATTCCTTATGATCCTAATATAACAGCTGAAGAACTGGCTAGAAAGGTAAGTTTGGTATACTGATGAAATCTGGAATGTTCCTCTGAAACACTCATTAAGCTTTTGAACAAGTAAACAAGGAAAAGTTCTGTTTTTATTGCTTTCTTGCATGGCAAAAGATTACTTGACTGTAAGCTGTCAAACCCTATGAATTGATGACAATTTATACTTGATGGAAGAACTAATATCAGAATTGCCCTTCAGCACAGGAGTGGGCAACATGTGGCTCTCCAGATGTTGAATTACAGCTTCTATGATCTTTCATCTTTGGCTATGTTGCCTGCTGCTGATATCCAACAACACTGAAGCTGAAGCCCAGCAACATCTGGAGAGATATGTTGTCACTCCTACTTTACAATTCCTTAAAGTTTCCTTCCTGCCAACTTTCCAGTTTCCCCTGGGTGTGGATAATACAGTGGTGCCTTGCTTAACGATTGCCTCGTTAAACGAAACTGCTATACGATGACTGTTTTGCAATTGCAAAATTCGCAAAATAGGCAAAATTTGTTTCCCGACGATCGGTTCCCTGCTTCGGGAACCAATTTTTTGCTAGACGATGTTTTTAAAACAGCTGATTGGCGGCTTCAGAATGGCCGCCCGCTGTGTAAAATGGCTCCCCGCTGTGTTTTTGGACGGATTCCTCGCTTTACAGGCACTGAAAATGGCTGTCCCTATGGAGGATCTTTGCTGGACAGTGATTTTTCAGCCTATTGGAATGCATTGAACGGGTTTTCAATGTGTTTCAATGGGATTTTTTATTTTGCTTAACGAGGATTTCGCTCTACAGCAATTTCGCTGGAACGGATTATCCTCGTTAAGCGAGGCACCACTGTAATGTGAAAGAACCAAGATGATAAATTCCTGTGCTCTTGCCTCACGTCTCTAAAGTGTCCTTATGAAGCCAGGCATTCAAGAGTGGGTTAATTTGAACACATGAGCAGAGGGAACAAGTTAACACCAACCCTTTCTCCTTGCTCTGTTCATCTAGAGAGTGATTATCTGAAGATTATCACCCTACGAGCAGCCTTTCCATGTGATCAGAAACACTGACTCTCCCAGTTGCGAATTGCATGTAATGTGAAAGAACCAAGATGCTCTTGTCTCACTTCTCTAAAGTGTCCTTATGAAGCCAGGCATTCAAGAGTGGGTTAATTTGAACACATGAGCAGAGGGAACAAGTTAACACCAACCCTTTCTCCTTGCTCTGTTCATCTAGAGAGTGATTATCTGAAGATTATCACCCTACGAGCAGCCTTTCCATGTGATCAGAAACACTGACTCTCCCAGTTGCGAATTGCATGTAGTCTCCATACTTAGCAGAGCATCTCTTTTTATAGGCTGTCACTGTGTGAAACCAAGAGAAAAATTCATTCTTAAAGTGCCCTGCCCATGCAGTGAGGGGAACATGGTAACCTCTTATCTCATGTGCTAGAGAGTGATTATCTGAAGATTATCACCCTACGAGCAGCCTTTCTATGTAATCAGAAACATTGACTCTCCCAGTTGCGAATTGCATGTAGTCTCCATACTTAGCAGAGCATCTCCTTTTACAGGCTGTCACTGTGTGAAGAGACCAAGAGAAAAATTCATTCTTAAAGTGTCCTGCCCATGCATTGAAGGGAACATGGTAACCTCTTATCTCATGTGGTTCCTTTCATCATGCACACATAACAATCTACAGAGGGTTTTTTTCCCGTTTGGCTCTCCATGCGAACCAGAAACCAATTTTTGTCATGTTCTGTCTCATGTGGGGGCACCTTTGCAGGAATGGCCTCCCTCATTGCTGACAGAATTGCAAATTGAAAGCTGTGTCTACAGAGGTTTTTTTTTTTCCTGTTTTGGCTCTCCATGCGAACCAAAAACCAATTTTTGTCATGTTCTGGCTCATGTGGGGGCACCTTTACAGGAATGGCTTCCCTCATGGCTGACAGAATTGCAAATTGAAAGCTGTGTCAGGGAAGTGGGGTAAGTACACGCCTCTCATGTGTGGGACACACAACTAAAGGAAAATTAAATAGGGCTTTTTTTTTTTCCTGTTTTGGCTCTCCATGCGAACCAAAAACCAATTTTTGTCATGTTCTGGCTCATGTGGGGGCACCTTTACAGGAATGGCTTCCCTCATGGCTGACAGAATTGCAAATTGAAAGCTGTGTCAGGGAAGTGGGGTAAGTACACGCCTCTCATGTGTGGGACACACAACTAAAGGAAAATTAAATAGGGCTAGAAAGGGTGCTGCTCCCTGCTCCCTCTATTCATGTGTTCATATGAATTCTTAATACTGGAAGAAGCCTTGTGAGCCTTTTAAAACACACATAATCATCCTTTGATTAAAATTCAGTGACGCCTCAGGAGGATGAGCAGGAATGCATTTTGCAAGCTCAGTTTGACTTACTGTTCCTGGATAAGGGAGAAATTGAATGTCATTGGAGAAAACCTGGTTAAAATGAAGAGGAGAGAAAATGCCTCAAATTCATGCATGGGCAAAAAGCAACCAAAGCAGAGAAAGAAATATTCCTAGGTCAACACTAAATTTGTCCCAGAAAATTATTAGCCAGCAACATCTTTACTCATCTGTAACTCAGTCATCAAAAAGGTCACTAGAGAATGGATGGAGTAAATCTAGGAAGCAGGTGAGCTGGTGACAGAGGCCTGGATAGGGAACCACTTGGACAAAGTGAAGGCATGTGGTGTCTCTTAGCACAGTCCCACCCAAACCATTCTGCAGATCCCTCTCAGTGCAGAGGCTCGTGGGGCAATTCAGTGGTGCCTCGACTTACGAGCAATTCAAGTTACTGCCAGCTCCGGCTGCAAAATTTTGCTTTGACTTGTGACTGGAGCTTCGAGTTACGATCTGAAAAAAGGCAGGGAATTCAAACTGCTAACCATTGGTCAGCAAAAAGGCTGTAGCTCTTTCGCCCCAGCGGTTAGAGAGTGTCCATTCGGAGGAGGCTTTAGACTAGCTGGTAAGGCGCTGCTTTCTGGTTTTTAAAAACTGCATGTTCTGGGTGGGTTTTGCAGCATGGTTTTGGGCGGGGGGTTATGTTTCTGTGCTCTGATGGATCTTGCAGTTTTTGTTTTTTTTGTTTTTTTCTTGCATTTCTAATGGGTCTTTCAGGGTTTGTTTGCTTTGCTTTTTTTGGCCCCCCCATTTCTGATGGGTCTTGCAGGGTTTGTTTACTTTTTGGGATGCCCCCCATTTCCGATGGGTCTTGAAGGGTTTGTTTGCTTTTTGGTTTTCTTTTTTTACATTTCCGATGAGTCTTGCAGAGTTTGTTTGCCTCTCTCTCTCTCTCTCTCTCTCTCTCTCTCTCTCTCTCTCTCTCTCTGTGTATTGCATTTCTGATGGGTCTTGCAGGGTTTGTTTCCTTTTTTTGCATTTCCGATGGGTCTTGCACTTGCAAGGTTTGTTTGCTTTTTGGGGTTCGTAAGTCGAGGCATCATTGTACATTGAATTAGTATGTGAGGAAGACAATATGATGGAAATAGAAGGACATTTATCCATTCACAAATAATTTTTAAAAATTGTTAAATAACTATAATACCCCTCAACTATTCGTTTCAATGCCAGTTTTGAAATTATACAGGTGCTGAAAATACATTACACAAGTGTTGCTCAGATATTTTCTTAGGGTGATATGAAAAAACATAATGAAAGTATTCTTTTTCTGTTCTTTCCACTCCCCAATAATTTATTTTTCAGGTAAAGACTGCAATAGAGGATCTCAGAGATAAACATCAAAAAATACCAGGCAGCATACGGAGAGCTATATTGGAACGGTTTCATAAACATCCAAATGATGATTAATGGGATAATCTATTTTGAATATGTAGACATCATTCCTCCAAAATGTTTGCTAATTATTTATATGGTACATGGACTCTTTTTCTTTCTTTTTAATAGAGGCTACAAATTCAAAGTATCTATACCAAATATTAAAATAATGTACATTCGTCTTCTGAATCTCAGCAAGGTTGGATTCATGAAACTACTTCACTTCTGCAAGCAAGTGGAAAGGAATCTGGTCTTGCTCGTCTAGACTTTTGAGCAGACCACTGTCAGATGCATCTACAGCATTTTATATGAACTGATGGATAGTATCTTAGAGTCAAATTTGATTGACCTTATGTTTTATCAGCTCCTGAGTAAGTAGTTGATCTTAAAAACACATATTTGGAATAATAAGCCACCTTGTGTCTTTTTAAGGAGAAAGGTGGGTTAAAAATATTTTAAATATATAAATAAACCTGTTTAAATGCAGAAGCAATTTCAACTAGTCTGGTAATTCCTGCTGTAAAATATGAACAAAACTGACTCGACTTCTTGTGAAAGATTGCATGTCATCAGAGCTGAAATGTTAAGTAGTTATGTTCTGTTTGTATTAGTTAGAACTGCTTTGTACTTTGTTCTCTTGCATTCCATAACAAAAGATCTTATGGTTTACGTTGGCTTCCCTCTTTAGATGGTTTATGGCATTGTAGGAATGGCAGCCTCCTTTCCTGTGCAAAGGGGCTGATGCAGGAGGTAACACAGGTAACAAAACAGTGGCAGAACAGTGGAATTCAGTTGTGTATTCCATAATAAATAAACCTGTTTAAATTCAGAAGCAATTTCAACTAGTCTGGTAATTCCTGCTGTAAAATATGAACAAAACTGACTCGACTTCTTGTGAAAGATTGCATGTCATCAGAGCTGAAATGTTAAGTAGTTATGTTCTGTTTGTATTAGTTAGAACTGCTTTGTACTTTGTTCTCTTGCATTCCATAACAAAAGATCTTATGGTTTACGTTGGCTTCCCTCTTTAGATGGTTTATGGCATTGTAGGAATGGCAGCCTCCTTTCCTGTGCAAAGGGGCTGATGCAGGAGGTAACACAGGTAACAAAACAGTGGCAGAACAGTGGAATTCAGTTGTGTATTCCATTCAATAGAACCTTAATTACTACCATAAAGCATATCTTGTTGTGTCCCTGTACAGTTCCTTATGGGATATTGCCTACCATAAAGCACATCATGTTGTGTTCAGCATGTCCCTGTACAGTTCCTTATGGGATATTGGTGGGGATGTGTAATCATGATGCAGCCATGATGAACTGAGTTTGCACTTTGCTCTGCAAAAAAACACCATTCTGCTGTTGTGTCCTTGAGTGATGCATTTTTCACTCACAAGTATGTCTGTGAGTGAAAAATGCAATACCTCGGCCCAACATCCGCTAACACTGATTCTCTCTCCCCCCCCCACCCCGCAGCCATGATTCAGGATGTGTGTTTTCCAATTTTCCTAGGTCTCTCTGCAGCATTCAGTTACATGGGCCATGATATCTTTTTGGAAAACCTATCCAGATTGAGTTGGGTGAGCAGCGTTTATTTTTTTTTAAATTTTTTTTACTTGTAATTGGAGAGCTGCTTTCACAAGATGGCGCTAAAGCATCTCTGCTCAGCACCACGGCATTTATACTTCAGAGTTCCATACATCTCCATTTCGTTCAGCATTCTGCTTAGCAGAACATGGAATCAGTTGAGGTTGTTGGGGAATGTTGAGAGTTGTATCATCGGAATGCTAATTACACCCTGTCTATTGCTTTCCCAGTCATTTCAGCCTGGGTGGACGATTGTCTGGCTCAGCCTAGACAAGGTAGAAATATTGTCAATGAGCAGTTTCTGTGCCTGCAAGAGTTGTGTACACTTGTTCTAAATGTGGTTGCACCTCATTTCATTCATTCATGCGTTCATTCATTCATTTTATTTCTCTCTCACTTTTCCTGCGAAGATGGGATTCATGTTAAAAAAAGAAATGATATTAAAAAACAAAGTTCCTTGCTTACAGGGGGCTCATGTACTATTCTGTGCCCCACTGATTCTCACTTTTCCTGTGAAGATGGGATTCATGTTAAAAAAGAAATGATATTAATAAACAAAGTTCCTTGCTTACAGGCGCTCATGTACTATTCTGTGCCCCACTGATTGAATGTGTGATATGAACATACGGTACTGATACCTTGTTACCATGGCTTCTGGTCCATTCCTGGGCTCAACGCAGAACTGCTCATGTGACCTTTACTACCCTTTTAAAGCTCAGGACCTTGGCACCTGAAAGGTCAGTTTTTCTTTTAAGAACCCATCCATGTGCTCAGAGGATTGCTGAGACCAGTTCCATTAACCATCAGCCATAGAGTCCCTTCCTAGAGAGGTCTGACATTAAGATCTTCCCAGCACCAGGCAAAAGCCTTATTTCCCCAAGCATTTCAAATTATCATGTGTTTATACTCACTGTTGTTTTATTTCTTTGATCTCAGTTTTAAATTTACATATAGCTTAATGCAGTGTTGTTTTTCCTCTGTTACCTGTTGATAAATGATTTGGGATTTTGTAATGGTGTTACATTTTGCTGTTTTCTCTTTATTTGGTTTTCAGTCCTCTAAGAGACCCAGAAAAATATTGTTACAAGGCAGACTGTCTGTCTGTGTACACACATATAAAACAATCAATGGCTGCTTGAGTATGCGTTATGTATTATTATGTTGAAGATGAATTTCTTTAGTGCCACAATCCTGGACATACTCATGGATCTCTACTGCATAGTTTGCACATAAAAACTTGGTGGGTATATATAATCCCATATAAACCCTATACAGTGGTGCCTCGCTTAATGAGCGCACCGTATAACGACAAAATCGCATAGCGATCCGTTTTTTGATCGCTAATGCGATCGCTCAACGTCGTTTAGATAGGGCGTAAATCGCTTTATGAAAATCAGTAAGCGTTTCGCTTACCGATCTTCGCAAAATGAAGCCCCGACGATCAGCTGTTCGGCGGACAAAATGGCTGCCGGAAGCTCCGTAATGGCTGTGCGCATCGTTTTCGCGCCCTCCCCTCGCTTAACGAGGGCGTGAAAATGGCTGCCGGCCATAGGAAACCTCACTGAACGGTGAGTAAAGGAGCCTTTTGGAATGCATTAAACAATGTTTAATGCGTTCTAATGGCTTTCCCTGTCCTGTTCAGCAATGTTTCGCTATAGCGAAGGTTAATCCGGAACGGATTAACCTCGCTATGCAAGGCACCACTGTATATAATCCTGTATCACACCTGTATGTAATTTCAGTTAGAGTTTAAAGTCTGCTCATTATCACTTAACTGCATGAATCCTAGAATCAGAATTGGAGGGGATTCAGAGGTCATCTATTCCAGCCTGCTGATCCTTGCAGGATCTACAATGAAACTACATGATCTTCAGTGTTGTAGCCATCCTGCTTCTGCTCGCACATCTCCAGTGAAGGAGCTCCCCTCTTTCCAAAGAAGACTGTTTCACTGTAAAACAGTTCTTATAATTAGAATGTTTTTCGTAATGTCTAGCTGCAGTTTGTTTCCCTGCCATTTCTTCCCAGAACAAGTTCTCGTCCTATTTTCTGCAGCAGGGTCTGCTCAGTTTTCTGCAGGATTGTTCAAATACAATCAAGTCACAAGGAGCGTGTTTTTGTGAAGTGTGCAGCAAGGAGCAAGAACTGGAATGTTTATTCTAGCAGTCCCAAGACCCTCATTTCCAAATTATAGTTGATTCCAGTACACCCTTATAAGCCATGTGTGGCTCTAAAACAATGGCATGATGTTATATCCCTAGTCCACTTCTCAGCTCTTTATTGCCATAATCAAAGATACCAAGGAAAAAGAGTTTTCATGCTTTATCTGTCCACAATAGCATCTTGTTCAATGTGGTGGCTTGATGTTATATCCCTAGTCCAGTTCTCAACTCTTTATTGCCATAATCAAAGATATCAAGGAAAGAAAAAGAGTTTTCATGCTTTCTCTGTCCACAATAGCATCTTGTTCAATGTGTTACAGTCTTGAGTCTTAAGAAATATCTGTCCGACAATTCTTTCACATTAAGCGTCTGCACAATTTTGTTTGCATTGTATAAGGACTTTTATGTTTCATTATCTGGTACTCTCTGTACTTCTGTGATCAACATCACTGCCTTAGAGCTGTCTGATTTTGAGTGTCATATGCCATTTCTATCAGGAATTAAATTGGCATCTTAATAATTTCTCAGGAGCATACACCTTGTATTCAGGTGGAATTCTCTTTCAGGGAAGTTTGTTTCTAAGTAAAATTGCAGGAGTTCAGTATGCCATTCTGCCAGTAGTTGGTGGCAGGAAGCAGTACGACCTCGAGGATGCCTTATTTTCTGTATGTTCTAAAATGTACAGAGACATTTCTATACTTTGTAACAATCCGTTATTTGTCAGGCTACCCATCTCTATATTATTGTTTTAGTATTCTAGAATCAATTGCTCCAACAGTCACCTTTACTTTTAAAGGTAGAATTCACAAGATTGAAAAAGCATTTTTTGAAACTTCATTTGTGTCCACACATCATTGAATTCTTCTCCATGAAATCAGTAAGAGAAATCATGTGCACGGAAACTATTTGCAGAGGAAAAAGCTCCGTCGATTCGTGGTTTGGGACATTTCGTTTCTATTTTGAGCTCCAAATGTGATCTGACTGCAAATTTCCTAGGCAGATTAAATTCTTTTAAGTGCATGTGTTAAAATTCTAACTTGGTGAGTGTCAAACTGTGATAGTTAAAAAACAGTGCAATCAAAATAGTGCCAAACTACAGGATACATATATTATAATTTTTTGTTTTTACAGAGATGTTTTCTCTATGTGTGAAGGCAGTCTGTCTTTTCCTCTGATTTCCTATGTGTCTTGCATTTTGCATGCTTTTATTTATGATGAATCATTGAAAGATAATCCTAGGGTTAGTTTGCAAATCTGATTGCAGAAAGGAAGTCAAAAATATAGGGAAAGCCTTTGTAATACGGAGTTTTACTCCAGACATTTAGAGAAGTGCTTGTTGTCTATAATGCATCTAGTCTGATCATTTTCCTCAGTGGAGCAGGCAATAAGTGTTCTTTCCTCAAATTTGAGGATTTTCCTCAGTGGGACAGTATTCTATTATGAAAGTATGCAGCGGAGATTGGAGAGGAATATGTTAGAGTTATTTGTCTGAGAAACAACATAATATAAACAGTTCTTTTAAGTTGACATTAGTGCAGCCATTACTTATCTTAGCAATGCTTCTGGGATCTATTTATGAAGACTCTGATATAATTCAAATGTGTCACTTAACATGCTTGCAGCTTACAATGGAATGGTTAACCACTTCTGAGTACCCTCTACCCAGAAAATCCTGGAAAGTGTTGCCATAAGTCGGAATTGACTTATGGCAACCTTTGTAAGCTTTTGCAGACCTGTCAGAAAAACTGCACATATCTCTTTTAATTACCTTGTGAGATACTTTGGAGGCACAAACAGTATTACATAAATGTATAGCATTAAACTGGAATATGATCTGTAAAAAATTCAGACAATACAGCTGCAGGGGCATTATGTTACAAAGGTAAAGTACTCACCACTGTTGCATCTGTAGCTATTTGAACAGCACCTTTTGTTTCTACCACATAAGCTTATCTGTATTTTCTCCAGAAATTTGTTCTCAAACTCCATCGGGGGCAATGCCCAGGAGATGCCTTTTCTTCAGAGGTTCCACACATTCTTCATGTGTAAGATCAGAACAGTGACTGATATGAAGTTTTATTTCCTAGTAACGACAATTGCAATAAAAGAGAATTACGTGGCTGGAGAAAAAAAGAATAAATGTCTTGTTTCCTCCAAAAATTTGAAACAAACAAACACCCTTTGAATGTGTCAACAGGACAGATGAGGAATTCTGTGTTTGCCCTTTAGGCCCCTTGCCTGGGTTTGTGCACAAAATACCAGATTTGGTGGTATTGATGTCATGGTTTGGAGGCTTGCCTCAGTATTACTTCCTAGCTAATGTTTCGGCTTGCAGTAGCCTCTTCCTTCCTGTGGATGGTGGATCTACAAATTGAAATCATTTCCCCTAAATTGTTGATGGGCTCTGGGGAATTTTCTGCTATTTCAGCTATGGGCAGTACCATCCAGCAAGAGCAAATCAACCAGCAAGCAGAGGTGGCTGCTGTTTCTCTATGTGGCACAAGGAGCTCAATCTTTCCTGTCATAATTTCCATAGAGAAAAGAGCAGAATAGAGGAGGCGGGGGGGGGGTAGTCATGGTCTTTTCTTCCTTGCATTTTCCTCGGTCCTTCCTAGAAGGACTTCCTGGCTGGGAATTCCTTTTGTTGTTTCCCAATGTCTGTTGCAGGTCAGGGGAAAAGCAAGATCGCTATTTACTAGTGACCGTTTTATCACCTGTTATCAATGGAGGGTTTTCCTTCCAAGTAAAAGTGTCCATGTCCTTCAAAAAATCTGTGGCATATTTCAGGGCTATCTGTGGCTCTCAAGCTTTCATGCATTCTGGTGAGATAATTTTGCTTCTGTAAAATGCAAACAACAGAATGTTGTGCAATGTAATATGAGAGCCATGAACTAATATGCTGAATATTCCAAGTTATAATGAGGATATTTCAAGAGACTAGGAAATTTCAAATGGCTAATTTGAATTGCATGAGGTACCATCCATTTCCATTTTAAAATAACTCTTAATGACTAAAATTACAGGACATTTTTTTGTACCTGGTAGATGACAGAGGGAGTGATTTAAAACAGAACAGCAAAATCTACCTGTGAGTCTATAGATTCTGTATACAAAGAAGTAATAGTCTATCACAACAGCTTCATGATAATAAGTGCAGCAGGTCCTTCTGGCAGATTTTCTAGTCCACAGATTTCATAACCTGTCAGTGGTATAACATGCAATGGCTTCAGTATGATTTCATGTATATGCTGATTTTATAAAACCTGATAAGAACAGAAAATAAAAAGACCAAGGAAGGCAAAACAGTAAAACTAAAACAGGAATTTAAATAAATGGTATAATCTTTAGCATAAAACAATGCTTTACTGTTTAAAACAACACTGAAAATCTGAGGTTCACATTTATAACCAAAAGTTCCTGTCTAATGTCTAAACGCTTGGCGTCTCACATCTAAAATTGCTGAATCAATTACACATCCCACAGTAGGAAAGATGCGCGCAGAAGGTGGTCCCAGATCTCAAGGCAACTGCTGTATTCTCAAGAGACTTTGATGCTTCTCCAGTCTCCAGGAAGGGAAGTCCATCATAGACTGTTCAGCGCCGGAGGAGGAGAAAGTTCAGTGTTTGCATGTGAGCCATCTTGCTACACAAGCTCTGCAACCTTTGTGGAAAAACTCCTTGTGGGATTGTCACAACTTTTCCCAAAACGTAAGCATAAGGTAAGGCCTAAGAGGAAGTCTGGGGATCACTGCTATTGCTGGGTGCATTTTGCTGTCTGGAAGCGAATGAATTTTCCCTCAGGGTGAGCATTACAATTATTTGCTATCATGTTCATTTTGACTTACAGCAATCTCTACCAGGGTTTTCTACATATAATGTATCCAACTATGATATGCTAGTTCTTCCTTAGTGCAGCTTGCTCAAGGTGAGGAGACAGTTAACCCCATTAGCCCTACACTCTCCAGCTCCTAGGAGGCTTAGTGAAAATTCAAGCTTCCTGCCCCTCAAGCCAGGCATTTCAGCTCACTGAGCTATATGAGCCTGCTAACACAATCACCAAGAATCTAGTCCCACACATGCAATCCTTCCGCCCATTTCCATGATCGGCTGGCTAAGGTGAAGCAGTTTGGGACCCTTAGAAGCCCTTACCTGCCCTGCCGTTGTTGTGACCCCACACATATTTCCAAAACTCATCATGAAAGATGGGAAAAGAAGGAGCCAGTGTCTCATCTTGGAACTTACGTATTCTACAAAAGGAAACCAAGTTTGTAGAAATTCTGTTCATAGCTTTCCAACCCTGGATTCCCAATTGGATACATTATAAAAAATGGAAGTTTCCATTTTGTCAAATTGCCAGTTAGCACCTTATGAAAGCAGCTTTTGCTGTTGGCACACCATGCAAACTGTTTTCTGCCTTTGCTGATTCTTGCAAATTGTCTGACCAGTGAAACAGATGATCAGAAGAACCAGCTCAGTCATGTAAAGGCAGAAGTTAAGTGTGCATGTGTGAAGGTCTACAATTTTAGACAGCAACATTTGGAGCCTGATGGGGAAAAATAAATCAACCTGTCACTACAACCCCCTTAGCACTCAAACTTCTCCTCTTAGGATAATACCAAAATATTACAGAAAGCAATGCAAACAGATAAAAAAAAAGTTACCTTAATAAACATATCTATTGTGTCAAAGAAGACAGGAACATAAAGAAGTGACTCTCCAGCTCCAGAATACTGTAGTTATAAACTGGCTTGAGTAGCTTCACCACCAGCAGCTACAGCCCACACCCTTTTTTAAACTTTTTTTTTCCTTTGGGAGAGCTTTGCAAGTGTTGACTAAGTTTCACTTAGTTCTTATCAGCCTTTACATTTTTATTCAGACACGCTGGGAGGGAGGAGCGAACACTAAGAAGTCACCAAACTAGAACAAGTTATACTATTATGCAACAGAAAGTTAATGTTGCCTCTGAGTACAGTTGTACTTGAAAGTAAAAAACAACACTTGTCTGTACCTCTTTTGAATATTTGTTTTCTTGTGCACTGACTATCAGGGCCACATCTTTTTTTAAATGGTTGTGTTGTATCTTAGAGTGTTACTGTTATTAATTTTTGAAAAGGCATTGTGTAAAAAGGACATTTTCTCGTATCAAACTGGGTTTGGCTTCACAACTTGGCTGAAGTTAGCTGGTGCAGGCTAAATAGTATTGCTTAAGGTTGGGTAGAGATCCTGTATGCCATTTAGTGCACTCACATGACATAGCAACCCTATATGTTCTCCTGTACCTTTTAGAGATTTTTTTTAATTGAAGGTTTCTTAGAAACAGGAGGATGCAAGATGGGGATTCCACCCCCCCTTTTTTTAATACCCTGGGGATCCACCTCTTTGCTGAGGACAGAAAAATTGTAAAGGAAAAACAATCTCCCTCTTTACTCTCTCAGGTCTTTTCCCACTTCCAGGAAGAAGCCTTCATTTCCCCACCCCACTAAAAGGTGCCGTGCACTAGCACAGTCGTAATTGCTTCTTTTTTTTGCTCTCCAGGTGCAGAAAAAGGAGATTTTAAATTTCACAGTTACTCTGTATAATTCAGTAGTTAAACTGTCTGTTTAAACCACTAATAGGTTGTGTTTTAGGAAGCTAGTGTTAGAGTTTTTACTGATGTTTTATGTTTTATAGAAACTTGTGTTTTAAATTGCTCACATATTTTATGCTAGTTGGTCTTTTAAAATGTGTTTGTTAAAGTACGCTTCCATATATGCTTCTATATACACATTTTTAACACAATAAGCAAACATGAAATTTGAAATGTGCTCCTTTTTCAGTGTTTAATGCATCAGTGGCCATCATTTGTCTCATCTCTACTAAATTCTGTTTAAAAGCCTCCAGTGAAGGAGAGTCCACCAACAGTAGAATTCCAAACAAATCATGAAGTGCTTCCTAATGTTTAGGTGAAATTTCCTTTTTTCCTATTTGCATTCATTATTTCAGGTGTTACTCTCTACAGCTATAAATAGAGCTTACTCCATCTTACATATGACATCTCTTCAAATATTTGAGGATAACTATCTTCTTCAGGATAAACATACCCAGCTCCCTTAGCCATTCCTTACATGGGCTTATTTTCAACCGGGTCACCTTCCTGCAAACACTTTCCACATTATGAATAAATTCTGATATCACAAATGAGGTCTAAGGTAGAACTCAGTGATATTATTACATGACTGGATAACTAAGGGAGTTGGATATCTGGCTGTGGATTTAGAGGTTGAGAGTTTACTTCCTTGTGCTTTCCAGGAGAAGAATCAGCCTGTGAAGCCTTGGGCAAGCTCTACAGTCCCAAAACATTTACTTTTCCAGCTAATTCTTCAGTTATTATATTGGGTTCATATGGAATGGCTTGGTCAATATGTGTCCAAAGTTTGATCGGAAATAGTTCACACATCAGAAAAACTGCATTCAGGATTTGTACAGAGGGCTGTCTCAGTGCTCCTGTATGTGAAATTAAGATAAGTGAGGGATCACCTGCTGAAACACTGCAGAAAAATATTGTGTTTAAAAGCAATTTGAGGCCCAATTAAAAAAATCAACACTAATAACAAACTAAAATAGCCTAAGATGTTCCAGAATTTACATGGAGACAGGAGCAAGTTGCTGTCAATGTTTCTAGCCTGAGGCACTTCATTGTACAAGGAGGGCAATTCACCCTCCAATTGTAGCATGAATTTGAAAGGTGTGTGCAATTAAAATAAGCACAACATCTTCTCCTGCCACAGTAACACTACAATGATGAATCCCAGAAATGTGGTGCAAAACAGCAACAGTAGAGGGAGCACACAGCCACTGGATGAAAAGCTCAGAAAAGGGAGAACAGTACCCACTCAGAATTCATGGCAAGGAAGTCCGCTGGTTGGAACCTGTGGAGAAATGCATTTTGGACCTCACAGAAAGGTGTTCCACACTCAGGGTCCAGACACCCCCTTCCCTCATTCCCTGTACAAGTGTTTGTACATAAATGTTAGAAGCTTTCTGTTTGGAAACCACTATAGGGTCCAGACACCCCCTTCCCTCATTCCATGTACAAGTGTTTGTACATAAATGTTGTTAGAAGCTTTCTGTTTGGAAACCACTACTAACTGGTTACACTAGAACAGCAGTCAAGAATACCAAACTACCACTCCATCAACTAGGACCACAAACTTACAGCAAATGCTGTCAGGCTGGATTGCTGCAAGTGTTTTTCTGGTCTTTAACACCCTCCCTCCATGCACATGAAGTGCAATGAAGTGACTTGCTGGAACAGTTTCTCTTGTTTTCTCTTTTGCAGTGCAGCCTCCATTTAATTCATGGGTAGTACCTGAATTGTACTGTCTTACTAATCTTCTTCCCACTTCACCTCCCAGGCTACCGGCCAACAAATCTAGCTGAATTTCAGGGTACAGAAATATAGCACTTTAAAAAAAAATGCAAAGCTACCATACTATTGCACTGGAGGCTGAGCTGGTCTGTCCAAATGCCTTCACATCACTGATGCCTTACATCCAGTGCTGAAAATCTCTTCAGCCAAGGCCTTGCAATCTTATCACTGACAGTTATGTCAAAGGGGTAGTAACACCCACCCCAGCCCTGCAAAGACACTGTCCACACATTTTCCTGTTTTTACAAATACGTAATCTGTCCTAACTTTGTTCAGTAAAGACCACTGATATTTTATTTAGTGCCATTGATCAAACAGTTTTATGCCTTGCTGGTTTTCGCGAAGGCTTTCATGGCCGGGATCTAATGGTTGTTGTGGGGTTTTTTGGGCTCTTTGGCCGTGTTCTGAAGGTTGTTCACAACCTTCAGAACATGGCCAAGGAGCCCAAAAAACCCACAACAACCTTGCTGGTTTCCTTAAAAAAAGGCTTTACCACAACTAGAATTTTAGTAGCCTTGAATATCATTGTGTTTTTATTTGAAATTAGGGCTTACCTAGGAAAACTCTTGGGAACAAGCTTTTCCCAACCCATGGCATTTCATCTAGATTGCACTACATCTCTTATCATTCATTCCTGATCATTAGTCATGTGTTCTGGAGTTCATTAGCCTCAAAAGAATGAACTGTCTGGTCTGGAAGGATACCAGGTGGGGAAGATTGCTTCAGAATCACTCATAGGAATGTTAATGGATACCAGAGACCATCATGTCCAAGGGTACAATTTCACACCCCATTTTCCTTTTTATTTTTCACACTGAAGAAGAGACAATAGGATGAAGGTATGTGAAATAACAAGGGAGTATGCAGGATAATGAGTACTTTTCATACAGGATGTGGCAGAGAAGAAGTGAGGTATGCGATGAAAACTGGGGGAAGGGCTTACTGTGTCAGCAATGCAGTCACAGAACATGAGGGCATAACACACTGGTTGACCTACCCACACAGCACACCTGCATTACGATGAGATAGCTGGGTGGGCTGGGCCATTTACATCCTTGCAGTTTCGAATGACACACCTTACAGGTCAAAGAATTTGTTGGCTGCATAATCACAGGCCTCTACAGGGATCTCATTTCCTAAGGGGACTGTGCCTCCTGCTTTCCTGTCATTGAGATCACAGAAGCCCCTTGGCCTTAGCTATTCACCTGCCATAGGCACTTTCATCTCATGGCCATGTTATGGGCTTTGCACACATCAGTATAATCCTTGACACAGAGGTACATGTGACACAGCCGCCTTCTTTTTCTGTCCTTACATCCACTTTACCTCCATTCCCTTTGATTGTAGAACATGAATTGTATTTATGCCAAACGCACACAGGATCTTGGCAGCAAATTTGGGTAGTTTTAATGTGACATCCTCTGCCTTCTGTGCATTTCCTCTCTGTGTGCCTCAATTCATTTCAACTATTGCAGGGAATTTTCCAAGAGAGATTTCTGTATAGAGCTATTAATGTAGCACCTCTAGGTATTCTTATTATTCAGACCACAATGGGAACGTAGTTGCATATTTCTGTAGGATCCAAGCTTGTTAAAAGTCATGTTAAAGACTTGACTTTGAAATGACTGACAGTGTCATACATTACACTGGCTGCATACAGTATTGAGTTTTATGCTCCAATCCACACTTTAGATGGCTCTGGGTTCTGCATATCTTCTGAAAAAGAGGACTGACAGTCTCTGCAGATCTAGGTCAAATTTATGTCCTGAGATCTTATCGTAGGGCACACCTTCTACCTCTTCTGCTGTGCACTTCTGTTTTGTGTGAAGCATGTTTTCAGACTGAAATAATCAGTCTTGTACTGGTGCTTGGCCTTTTCTAAAAGAGGGATCACATTCTTGGAATCTTCTCTGAAATGTAGTTCAGCTCCACTGATGAGCAGTACATGTGGGGCAGTGGGCCTATAATGGCCTTTAGGGCTGTTAGGAAGGTGTTTTAAGAGTCAGACTTTCTGACCTGAGAAGTTTCCTAGGGATAGGAGAGACATAGAAGGTATTGTTAACTGTTGTCACCTGGGTTGCTATCCTGAAGAATATCAACCTCAGTTGTGAACAGGCTTTGGGGAAAAATGGTAGGGATTCATGAGGCTACAGTTTCATGTTAAAATTTATTTATTTATTTAAAATATTTTTACCCTGCCTAAGAAAAGACCCAAGGCAGCTTACATAATCAAAGCACAGTATTAAAGCTAAAACAGTGAGTTATTCAAATATTTACTGAATTAATAACCTATTAAAATGTTCGGTAAAGCATTACTAAAACAGATTTAGACGCAACAAAATGCAAACCATCTAATTTAAAAACCTTCCTTAGTGACAGCCTGTCACTAAGGAAAAAAGACAGGGAATGATGGGGCCAACCTGGCCTCCTATGGGAGGGAGTTCTAGAGTCTGGGGTAGTGATAAACAAGGCCCTCTCTCATATCCCCACCAAGTCCAACTGTGTTGATGGTGCAACAGAGAGAAAGGCCTCCCTGATCATCTTAACTGTGTGGCAGGTTAATAGAAGGAGAAAAGGCCTTTGTGAAAGCTTGGATCCAAGTCTAGAAGCACTAACGAAAGTACTGCTGCAGTTCATTTCATTGCATACACAATTTATTATTCCCATTATTCGTCTTTGTGATGCACCTCAAAGCGTTCCCAAAGGGCTCTTAGTATACTTCCAGGTATTTTTTGATGTTTGTCTCGTAAAGCTTCTACTGCCTTTTTGGCCTGTTTGCAGGAAAAATGAAGAACAAGAATGCACAGATTCAGAATCAAGTAGATGCTTTGGTAACAATTCTCTTTGTCCTTTCCAAAGATTTATCATCCTATGGATTCGCCTTTTATGCTCATGGCAATCAGTCCTACTGTCTGTGAGTTAAGAAAAGATTTGCACATTGGAAAAATGATGCTTAATGCTGCTGTTCAACTTCTTAAGAGAAGGGGCATAACAATACAAAAATACTTCCAAATGCTGCTTCCAGAGAGAGGCCCAGTGATTATTTAAGTGCAACATCTACTTCCTCTGTGCCTGAAGAGGGCAGATGTACAAGGCTTTAAGATATAAATAAAAGTTGGTTTAGCAAACAGAGGATATGAGATGCTCTGTGCAATATTTTAACTTTGAAACTTCTGCCAGCCTTGAATCTGAGCAACCCTGTAGACAGAATTGGGGGCCTGAGCCAGTGGTTTTTCACTCTTCTTCCACAAACATTCACATACCTCTAATTTTATTCTTCTCCCCCAACCCATATATTTCAGAAAACCTCAAATTCATTATTTAAATAATATATATATCATTATCATTATTATATTTTTAAAAATTAATTAACTGTGATGCTCTAGAAAACCTTTTTAAAAGAGCTTTCATAAATCCTAAAACACTTTTTACTGGAAAGGATATTTAGGGAATTTGAACATATTGACCAGAATCCTACTGGTGCTTGTGTAAGATTGAAAAAATCATAGCAAATTGATGAGGTGCTGGGGTGCATTTCAGTTGTACGATTGGGCACATGATCAGGCAAGCAACTGAGATGTACCCTGGCACCCCAGCAATTAGCAGTTAGCCATGGCAAGTTACAGTATATCACAGAAGTGAGCACACCCCCTCACATTTCATAAATATTTTAGTATATCTTTTCATGTGACAACACTGAAGAAATGACACTTGGCTACAATGTAAAGCAGTCAGTATACAGCTTGTATAACAGTGTAAATGTGCTGTCCCCACAAAATAACACAACACAAAACCACTAATGTCTAAACCGCTGGCAACAAAAGTGAGTACACCCCTAAGAGACAATGTCCAAATTGGGTGCAAAGTGTCAATATTTTCTGCGGCCATCATTATTTTCCAGCACTGCCTTAACCCTCTTGGGCATAGAGTTCACCAGAGCTTCACAGGTTGCCACTGGAGTCCTCTTCTACTCCTCCATAATGAAATCACAGAGCTGGTGGATGTTAGAGACCTTGCACACCTCCACCTTCCATTTCAGGTTGCCCCACAGATGCTCAATAGGGTTTAGGTTTGGAGACATGCTTGGCCAGTCCGCAACCTTTACCCTCAGCTTCTTTAGCAAGGCGGTGGTCATTTTGGAGGTTTGTTTGGGGTTGTTATGTTGGAATACCACCCTACGGTCCAGTCCCCAAAGGGAGGGGATCATGCTCTGTTTCAGTATGTCCCAGTACATGTTGGCATTCATGGTTCCCTCAATGAACTGTAGCTCCCCAGTGCCGGCAGCACTCATGCAGCCCCAGAACATGACACTCTCACCACCATGCTTGACTGTAGGCATGACACACTTGTCTTTGTACTCCTCACCTGGTTGCCACTACATTCTTGACACCATCTGAACCAAATAAGTTGATCTTGGTCTCATCGGACCATAGGACATGGTTCCAGAAATCCAT